GCCTGGGCCCCCGATCCCAAGGAGGACTCTCCCGGACGCCTTGCACTCTGCCTGGCATCTCCTTAACTCGGAGCCTGCGGGAGCTCAGGATGAGCGCGTGCTGGGTCTGAAGCCTGTCCAAGTGGATGAGAATGGTGGGGGCTTCTGGAGGCAGCCGAGGCGGAAGCTGCGGCCTCATGAGCCGGGCTGCAGGCGCAGCTGCGGCTGTGGAGGCGGCACGTGCCCTGGGCTCTCCGGTGAAGCACGTCCTGGCGGGGCGCCCGGGGCTGCAGACCTCTGTGTCCCCACGTGCACGGAGTCTTTGTGCTGTGATGTTGCCCTTCACGTGAAGTTTTCAAGACCCATATCCCGTTGTCTGTGAAATCATAGGTTTTACTTTGTGAAGGACTGTACGGAATAGGCCCAGGGAAGGGGACTAGTATTTGCTGAATTTGCCAGCATGTGTGACGGTGAACGTCCCTGGACAGCTAGCCTCTGTGCAGGGACGCCTCAGCCGGTGGCAGGTACAAGGTCAGCCAGGCTCTGTGGCGTCCTTAGTGAGAAGCAGGAGATCCATCGAGGGGATGCCAGAGGTCCAGACAGTTCCAGAATTGTTTCCACTGGTGGTTCAGTGTTTGTTTTTATCATTTGTACGTCGTATTTTGTTTTCAGGCTTGCACTTGTGTTTTTAACTGCCCTATAAAGATGCAAACAGAAGACTGCCTTGATGTATCCCCCTGGCAAAGGCCATGAGCACGCCAGGTCTCTGGGGGGTGAGTGGGACTGGTCAGCGGCGGCCTCTGTGGTGCCTCCAGAGAGCAATGGGGCGATGCTCACGCCTCTGCCCTGCGTGTCTGCTCAGGGTGGGCCTGACCCGAGATGTGGCCGGGAGTTGGTTCGTGGATGTTCATGGTGCTGGCGTTTGTAAAGTGAAGGAAGTGACAGCCCAGAGTCGGGCAGCGGAGTGAGGACGGCTGGGATGCTGTGATTGGATGGTTTCTGAATAAGCTCAAATGCTCGAAATGTGATCTCCTTTTCATAAAAAGACCCGGCATGGCAGTCCGTGCCTGTAATGCCAGCCCTTTGGGAGGCTGACGTGGGAGGATCCTTGAACCCAGGGGCTGGAGAACGCAGCCGTGGCGGGGGAGCGAGAAAAGAAAAAAGGAAGTACCACGTTATGTATCTCATTTTGCTAAGATACATCCTTTTTGTAAAAATGCTTATGGAAATACACCCAGTGGGCTGGGCGCCGTGACTCACACCTGTAATCCCAGCACTTTGGGAGGCCAGGTCAGGAGGATCACTTGAGGTCAGGAGTTCGAGACCATCCTGGCCAACATGGTGAAACCACGTCTCTACTGAAAATACAAAAAATTGCTGGGCATGGTGGTGGGCACCTGTAGTCCCGGCTACTTGGGAGGCTGAGGCAGGAGAATCGCTTGAACTCGGGAGGTGGAGGCTGCAGTGAGCCAAGGTCACTCCACTTCACTCCAGCCTGGGCTACAGAGTGAGATTCCATCTCAAAAAAGCGAGAAAGAGAGAGAAAAGAAAGAAAGGAAGGCAAGAAAGGAAGGAGGGAGGGAGGGAGGAAGGGAGGAGACACCCAGTGAGTCCGTGAGTGTTGGTCACTGTGCAGGCTGAGTGGATGTTGTATGCAAATTTCACTCGAGTTTTTTATTTTTTATTTTTTCCATTGCATTGAGTGTCGCTCTTTAAAAAAATTGACTCGAGTTGAAGATGAGTTAGAAGTTACTGGAATTATTATCAGTTCTGAGCTCAGGGCTTCAGCAAGCGAGTTGCAGCTCCGGGGGGCTGTGGCTGGTCAGAGACCCCCAACGGCAGCATAGCTGCCCACGGCCGCCTCAGGTTTCACCCCCCCATCCCCCCAAGAAGGAAGCCCGGGGGGTGGGGTGGGGCAGACGCAGCGCAGGCACCTCCCCCATCCGTTTGGGCCCGTTTTTTCTGAACCAGAGACACAAATTTGCAGAGCTGCCAAATTCATGCTGAAAATTTCTAAGTAAGACCAATCAACTTAATTGTCTGGGTTGTGATACTCATTTTGTAAACCATTCTTGCTTTAAGCCGCGCACACACCATGTTGCTAAATTTGCAGATGATTCCAGAGCCAAGTGCATGGGTCAATGGCGGACTTCACGTATGAGGGTTCTCGTGAGGTCACGAGAGCGTGTTTTTTTACTGCGCCTTTTCTGTGTTTAGATGTGTTTAGATTCACAAACCCTGAGCGCTGTGGGGCAGTCAGCGGCGGTGTTCGGTGCAGCCACACGCTGTGCCGACGTGTACCATACCGGGCAGACTTGGGCCGTGCCGCGTGGCCAGGGTGTGCCGTAGCCACCCCGTTGGTTCCCATGAGTTCCCATGACAACAAAACCAGCTAAGGACGCGCTTCTCAGACGGTGTTCCTGTCATGAAGTGACACGTGGCTGCACTTACGCGGTGACTCTACATGACGGTCAAGCGCAGCGTGAGTTGGACGGCTTCATCTTTAGGAAACGCGCCTGCCTTTAGCCAGATGCGGGGGGACTTCTCCTCCTTCCTTCTTCTCTCCTTCCCTCTCTCTCACTCTGTCTCGCTCTTAAGTTTCCTGGGAATCCAGTGAGCCCATTTTTTTTTTTTCCACTGTGATTTTTGTTTTTTATTTGTTTCTTTTCGATTTGTAGCAGAAGACAGGTCTGGGGCACCTGAGCCGGGCAGCGCCTGGCACCGTCCATGACTTTTTCTGGCACCTGCCTGTCGGTTAGTGGGCGGGGACCCCTGCAAAGGGGTCTTTCATTGCCGGGCCCTGTAGCCACCCCCCTCCCTTCCCCCAAGCGCGCAGTCGGCCAGAGCTGTGTGTGGAGAGGCGTTTCTCCAGAGTCTATTGTCCTTCCCGTGTGGTGCGGGGTGTTTGATTCAGCCGCCTGCCTTCTGCCTGGCAGCATTAGCTGATAATGGGCACCTACGCTGAGAACCTCACGTGGGATGCAGCTCGGACGCACCACCTGCGAAGCCGCGTCTTGGCGATTCCTCCGTCAGGAAAGCTGCTGTGGCTGCCGGGGTGCACTGGGTGCCCCGGGGCCTGTAACCACAGAGGGAACGTGGGTGGTCAGCCTGCCGGGGGCGTCTTTGGATAAATCCATTTCTAAGGTTTCAAATTACCATGAAGTTTCCAGTGTCATGAAATATGTAGTCTTGTTAAGGAACATTTTAGATGTTCGTATTTTTTTAAAATGACGTATTTGATTCCATTCAAGCTGCCTCCTGGGCCTTTTCTCTTTGAAGGAGTCTTTTATCCTACCTGTTTTTATTTTATTTGTTTGTTTTGAGACGGAGCCTTGCCCGTGGCCGAGGCTGACGTGCATGGCGATCTTGGCTCACCGCAACCTCAACCTCCCCCAGCTAAGGTGATCTTCCCTGCTCAGCCTCCTGTGTAGCTGGGACCACAGGTGTGCACCACCATGTTCTGCTAATTTTTTTGGTTTGTTTTGTAGAGATGGGGTCTCGCCATGTTGCCCAGGCTGGTAAACACCTGAACTCAAGGGATCCGTCCCTGTTGGCCTCCCAAAGTGCTGGGATTACAGGCGTGAGCTGCTGCGCCTGGCGTTGCTTCTGTTTTTGAAAAGTCACTTTGGGTTCATGGTGTGTCCTGAGGCGTGGGGACCTTCGGGGGACGGGAGGCAGTTTCCTTGAACTGGCAGATGCCCCCGCTCTGAGCCTGCGTCGCACGGAACCTGCCCTTCCTTCTGAGAAGCCACCCTGCGTGTCTCACGTCTCTGTGGCTTGTACTTAAAACTGGTGTTGAATGACAGTGGGCAGCTCTAGATGGTAGCCGAGTGGAGGGCTGAGTGAATGGCCCGTGGGGCTGGTTCTGAAGACGTGGCAGTTGCAGGCCCTGTGTGGACAATGGCCTCAGCAGCCCGGCCGGCCATGGTGCTGGGGTGAGCCTGTGTGGTGACGACGGTCAGAGTGCGCCCCAGGCAGGCTCCGCCCACGAGGCGGTGAGGACGCTTGGTGGTCCCCGGGCAGGCTCCACCCACGAGGCGGTGAGGACGCTTGGTGGTCCCCGGGCAGGCTCTGCCCACGAGGCGGTGAGGACGCTTGGTGGCCTCGGCAAGTCTCCGCCCACGAGGCGGTGAGGAGGCACCCAGCCTCCTGCACAGGGTGGAAGACGGCTCCTGCATGGATAGCGCTGCACTGGCGCTTCCTGCAGGCCACCCCCTAGATGCGAGAACCCCTCAGGTGCACGGTGGGGACCCGGAGAATGCTGAGTCAGTCTGCCGTGGCCTCCTACAGAACGCCCTCAGGAAGACTCTCAGGCCGAGGGCACAGGCAGAACCTTACATTAGCCTTCCACCCCAAACATTCATCTCCCGAAAGGATGGGGCTGTGGGCTGCGAGGGCAGACCCGGCATCTGTCACCTGCCAGGTCGTGCAGTCCTGTCCCTGTGTGCAGAATAATGGACAGGCTCCCCAGGCCCTCAGCATCGCGGCCCACCTGCTGCGCTGGCCCCCGGCCCGGCCCTCCGTGGACGCCCAGTTCCTCCTGCTGACCCTCAGTCTGGCCTTTCTGTTCATCTTGCAGCAGTCATGGAATTTTGGGGCTGCCGGCGTTGCGCATACCATGTCTTCCAAACCCACCCATTTATGAAGAGCCCAGTCAGCCTCCTGCCCGGCAGCAGCTGCACAGCGAGTTCATGGCGAGGAGGGTTTGAGCTTCCTGGTTCTTAGACCAGTTTCTACCTCTTACATGATTTTTAAAAAGATTTTCAGTGAGTTCAAAACCTGTCTTAGTGGAGGGCTGAGTAGCTGATGATGGAAGCCTGTCATGGAGGAAGAGGAGTATGTTAAGGCTGTGCTTGTAAAATGTTTCCAGAACAGGCAGGCGGTGACCGCAGGTCACGCTGACACGGGCTTGTCAGTCTCGGGTCGGGACCTGTGTTCGGGGTGAGGCGTCGGCCGGAGACAGTGCAGGGCATCCCAGCGGAGATGTGTGTGGAGCTGACGCGTCCTCTGTTCCCTTCCAGCCCGACCTTGCCTGCCCTGGACTGGCAACTGCCGTCACACTCCGGCCCGTACGAGCTCCGGATCGAGGTGCAGCCGAAGTCCCACCACCGTGCTCACTACGAGACGGAGGGCAGCCGCGGGGCCGTGAAGGCATCGGCCGGAGGACACCCCGTCGTGCAGGTAGGTGCTGCGGCCGGACTCACCCGCCACTCGCCGCTTTTCTGGTCCAAAAGTAGCTCTGGCACCACCGCTAACTGTGCTTGCAAAGTAGACCGTCCCGGCCAGGTCAGCTGCGTGCACCCTCGTGGTCCGTCCCGGGAGCTGCTGTCCGCCTCTGACCTGGAAGGGGTCCCTCCTCTGCCTCCACATGCCCAGGCCCTCTCTCGTTTATGGATTTGCGGGTCCCATGTCCATGGGTGCTGCCTGTGGTGTGGATGTTATGTGGGGTGGATTCTCCCCTCTCCAAAGCCTCTGCACTTGGAGGCAGAGTTTCTAGCCAGCAGCACCAGCCTCGCGGTGTCGGTGGGGAGGTCCTCAGAAATGCAGGTTCTGTGGCCCACGCAAATGCTGGGCTTCGGGCTGGGGCCTGTTTTCAGCAGAGCTGCTGGGGGGCACCACGGCCGAACTTGCCTCCCGAGGAGAGGAGGAGGAGGAGGCGGCTTTCAGAGAGGGCCTGGGCCAGGCAACCCTGCAGCCTTGTCCCAGCCTTGTCCCTGCCTGACTGCCCGGGCTCTGGTGTGGCTTCTCGCCTTGTTCACACCTCGGGGGAAAGCCACATGGAGTTAGGATGTCCATCGGCTCCCTACAGGGAGGTGTGCAGTGACCATGCCGGGAACACACAGTGTCTGCCCACATAGCCGCGCCCCTGTGCACCCCAGGCGTCCATGTGGACCCCGGGTGGCCATGGGTGTCAGCGTTTCCGTCCATCAGCCTGTTACCTCATTAGCTCTAGACCCCAGGCCCCGGATCTGCTGCTTTGGCCACAGAGCAGGAAGTGCAGCCTGGCCCCAGGTCCCAGGTTCCAGGGTTCCAGGGCTCCTGGCCGCACAGCAACACGGAGGACATTTTTCCAGCACACCCCAACAGCAAAACCCGGGCCCCCCAGCCCTGTTGTTTAGGGAATGATGCCAGCCGGCAGGGGCGCTCAGCGGGGTGCCCCGTGTTTTTATTTCCTTCCATTTAGATAAGTAGTGGAGGGAAGGCAGAAAAGTGGCTGTTTGCCAGCGCAGCGGCCGGCAGGTGGAATTACCAGGCAGGCGCTGGGTGGCCGCTTTTGCCGGCACACGCAGGTGATGATGGGACATTTGTGGTCTGCGTGCGCGATGCCGATTAGTACCTACCTTGTCGGCTGCTTGAAGCAGGGAAAAGCCGGAGACGCGTCGGCGCCCAGCAGCCGGTTTGACATTTAAAGTCCCCGCCTCCCAGGTGGAAAAGGTGGGACAGCGCTGTGCTTGGTCACTGCAGGCGTCTGCCGCCCTTTCCTGCCTCGGTGTTCGCTGACTGAAAGCCTGTTATTGCTTCGTGGGAAGGAGATTAAAAGAGCCTGGAAGTGAGGCTGAGAAGGAGTGAAAATAAAGCAACAGAGAAATAACGGCCTGGCCCGTTTGCTGTAAATTATGTTGGTGAGGGGCGCTGGCCGTGCTCGCGGGAGCAGGGCGGGCTGCATTGCCCTCTTCACCGTGTGCGGATGAGGGGCAGCTGCAGGAAGCAAGGCTGTTTGGTGGATAAAGTGGGACTGTGAGCGTGGAGAGCACTGAGGTCTGGTTTTGTTTTGTCTGAGGCGGAGCCTCGCTCTTGCCCAGGCTGGAGTGCAGTGGCACAACCTTGGCTCACCACAACCTCTGCCTCCTGGGTTCAAGCGATTCTCCCACCTCAGTCTCCCAGGTAGCTGGGACTCCAGGCAGCCCTCAGTTTCCGGGGATGTATTTTCACCCACCCGTGAGTATCTCCGGTGCCTGGTGACCCAGTGCCCGCGAACACAGCTCAGCACCGGGCCCTCCTGCCCATGTCTCCCAGAATCCCGTCTCTGGTTTTGCCGTCCGGGTGTCTTGGGTTTAGGGTGCTGAAATTATCAATACAGATGCGATCAAGAGGATCCAGGTGTTCTGGAGGACTCCAGAAACTTGAAACAGCAATTTAAAATATCTTTAAAATGTACCCTCAAAAATGACTCCAAATCAAATGGCTTGTGTACACAGCAGCACAATGGGTGAGGCTGCCCTGTGTCCCACAGGAGGAACCCTTTCCACTGACGTGCGGGAGAAAACCGTCCCTGCGCGGAAAACGTCGGGTCAGCAGGTCTCATTTGTGAGAAATTAGTAATTTAACAAGTTTTCTGATACATCTGTGGCAAAGTGAATTTGTATCTATGCAAGTGTGAGGTAAACAGTTAAAGAGAGGGGTTTTTGGGGGTTTGTTTTCTCTTTCAGTTGTTGGACCACAAATTGGATGAAAATAGAATTTGTGCATAATTATAAAACAAATGAAAATAGAAAGTTCTCAGTTGCTGTGGAAGCTCATAACCACAGAGGTGCCTCCGTGCTGCTGGGTTATTTTAGCATGTCCTTTGACACCAGTTCCTTTTCCGCTTTACATAAGTGAGGCTCTTCGCCTGGCCTGGGGTGCAGGGATGAGGCCGCGGGTGGTGGGCGCCGCGGGCTGCGTCAGAGCCCCTGGGAGCCGGCGGCGGGAGCGTCCTGCGTTTGAGAAACGCCGTTCTCTTTATCGTGAGTCGCCTGTCCGCTACATCTTAAAAAGCTTGTCCAGAAAATCAAAGCCCAGCGTCTCCTGCGGCACAGGTGCACCGCGGCGGGGGCCTGGGGGGTGGGTGCCGGATCTCGCGGTCAGGAGCACGTCCTGTGCCTGTGCCCTGCGTCCCTGTCCCCACGTGCTTTGCAGCTGGGAAGAGAAGTACAAGAGCAGGAGTGGCGCCTTCCCTCCAGGAAGCACCCGGAGCATGAGCCCCGGGTTAGGAAAGGGTGCTGGCTCTTTCCTGTGGGCGCCGAGGTGTGGGAGGGATGGCTGGCATCTGGCTCCTCCTGTCTAGGGCCTTTTCCTTCACGGAGAAGGAGGCCACCCGCTCCCGCGAGTGCTGAGGGAGCCCTGCTGTCTCTGTGGGAATGTCATTCCTCCGCCGGGAAGAGACCAGCCCAGGCCAGGGCCCACTCTTGTGGCCACATTCTCATGATCACACCATCCACACCCTGAGCCCATCCCCGTTGTGGCTGCCCTGGCACTGAAAACGCCAGCATCAAAGGAACAGAGCCGTGGTTTAGCCTGGAAGGGCAGGGCCCTGGAGCTGTCTGTGAAGGGGTCTGCGTGAGGATGGCCGGCAGCCCCTGGTGGACGTGGTCCCTGCGGGGTCGAGCAGGACCTTGGCTGTGGTGGTGGCTGCAGCCCCTCTGCTGGGGCGGGGCTTTTGGGTGAGGACAGCCCAGCCCCGGAGAATGTGAGGGGGACGGTGCAGAGACGGGTCCAGCGTGGGCCTCCAGCACGTGGCTGGCCAAGGCCTGTTTAGGACTCACCTTATCCCGGCAGAACAAGTGACTCAGAGCCTCCTAGAGGTTCTGGCCGGGCAGGGGTGACCAGCAGCTCACCCAGCCCTGGCTCCTAGCCACACAGCCCCCAGGTCACAGCCCCTCCTGCCCCTGCTCCGACCCCTAGCTGCCCATTCTCGGTGGACTGGCCTGGATGTGCGATGCCAAGAGCTCTGCAGGCCGCTGTTTGCAGGGAAGGCTGAGGAGCGGCCGCCTGCTCTCTGCTGCCTCCTCACCGGCATTTCTATGATGCCTGAAAGTGACACACCGGACACTTTCCGGCAGCCTCCAGCTTTCCCCCAAATCCTAGCTCGCACTGGGTGTCCTTGTGGGTGGCACCCCGACAGTCACCACCCTCTACCCTCTACCCTGACTGCAGGCTCTGCCTCTGGGTGAGGTCCTCTGTGCATGCAGCCTCCTCACCCCAGAGGCCCGTCCTGTGCTCAGCGAGGCTGGGACCGGAGTCCACGAGGGCTCTAGGGGCTGCTGGCCTTTCTCCCCGTGTCCCCTCCTCGTTCCCACACAGCCTCCGCCCTCGGTCCTGCTCGCCTTCTGGGGACGTAGGCAGCCGGCATCAGGCTGGCTCTTGGAGGTTTTCCATTGGGATGGTCTGGATGAGGCGGGCCAGGGTTCTTCCCCTGTCTCTGGCCAGGGAGGGCGGAGAAACCCCCGGACACAGCGCGGAGGCCTTTCCATGCAGCCCACCACGTTTCCAGGCGTGAAGGTGGAGGCTGGTCCTCCCCCGTGTGTTCCCATCGGGGGACTGTGGCCCTGCCCGGCTCCTCCGCCCGTGTGCTCCCATCAGGGGACCGTGGTCCTGCCTGGCTCCCCTCCCTGCCCGGCTCCCCTCCCTGTCCGAGCAGGAGCTGAGACGTGTGAGCAGCGCCCGCCTGGGTCCCTCCGCCTTGCTTTCCTCCTGTTTTTGGTCGAGGTTCCTTCCCTCGCTCCTGCCCTCTGCCTGCCGTGTTCCTCACACTTGTCCCTGCATCCTTGGCCTGCGTCCTGCGCTCTCCCGGAGGCGGCGGGAAGGGTCCAGGGCCTTGAGGAGGGGTCTTTGCTCTCGGCCCTGATCTCTGCGGCACCCACCACCCCACGGGGGCACGTGGAGCTCTGTGGAATGTAGCTGACCTTTGACCCAGGGTCAGAGAACACAGGTCCATTTACCAAGTCACCAAAATAACTTGCCCGATAGCATCTCACCCACCACACAGGAGGCCAGGCTCATGTGAATAATTAATAGGTCACTGGAACGTGAAACAGGAGCCTCACCCATTCCGAAACAGCACTTCAGGTTTGCAGCTGGTGATATCATCAGTTAGGAAGGGCAGGTGAGTCCCCGGTTTGGGACTTGGCCTCAGCTGCGCGGGTGAGAGGGGCTGGCGGGTCAGGCAAGGACCCAGGGCCGGGTGGCCGGACTGGCCCCAAGGAGGGCTCCCGTGCTTGCCCCAAGCACAGCTCCCGGCCTTGCCCCAAGCACAGGGTAGGGTGGGCCTGCTGGTGCCCACGGCGGGCTCATGGGCGTCTCCCTCAGTCACCCGGCCCGTGCGTCAACTTTGCACCCCTAGTCTGGGGCAGATCTTTTTTCTGTCATGCAAGAAACAACAGCTGAAGACCAAGGAGTGGAGCCCACCCCGCCGGGAGCCG